TGGTCTACTCCCTGCCGCTGCAAACGCTGCGAAACGCTGGCGTAACGCTAGCGTTACGCTGGTGACGCTGGGAACGCTAGATCGATATCCATCCTCTCCCCGGCACTGCCGCTGGCGTACGCTGGAAGCGCTACGCTACGCTGCCGCAAAGTATAAACGCAGCCTTACGCCACCAGGGCCGCTTTTACCCTCTCAGCTTAACGGCTTATGCCGTAACCTTTAAGTTAAACGTGTGAGTGCTGTAAGGTTACGGCATAAGCCGTTAAGCTGAGAGGGTAAAAGCGGCCCTGGTGGCGTAACGGATAGCGCACTCGCCCGGAAAGCGTGAGGTGCGGGTTCGACTCCCGCCTGGGGCACGACTTTTGCCCACAACTCAGCATTCTTGTGATAACTGGTAGTTCATACAATGTCGCTCCACGGTTAATGGGTACACCTACCTCTTCATGGTGTGCTGTTCTCCTAGTTGGCCGTTGCTGGACGACCCGCATCTAGGCGATCTCTGGTCTCCCTGGTCTCTCGGGCCTTCCTAGGATCCATGCCGATTCCCCTCGACAGGGACTACACTGATGAACAGACCTACCAGGACTAAGGCAGTGGTACACAGGTTTAACACCAATTAACGCTCATGGCGGGCCCTGTTGCCGTGGCGCTGCCTCTTCTCTCAAAGAGGGAAGCGAAGCAAACACGATAGGTGACGCCAGGTGCAGGTGTCTTGGCCACCTGCACCCGGCGTCACTAGTCGTGGTTTGCTTCGCTTGGACAGTCTGCTGATGGACCCCTTCTGTCATCAGGGAGCAGGCAGAGCACGCAAAGAAGAGGAATGTCCCTTTGGCTGGGACAGCTACGGTATGCCCAATCACACCGCAGCGCTGAGTTCGTGTCGCGCCTAGTGGACACCACACCTCGTCTTGCCATTCTGGCAGTTGCATGCTCCAAAATGTTGCCTTCAACTGGCAGTGACGGCCGATAAAGCGCCTCGGCTGGGTGCCGGCCACAGCGCAGGCTTACACCTATCGAAGGCTCAAGCACCGCGTATAGACCTTGGAGCATGGCGAAACTTCTGGTCTTGGTGTACCCTAGACATAAGTCCGTTCTGCGAGACACCCGCCATGGCAGAACAATACTGGCGTGTTGGATCAGTCACTGTGGTGACCACGCCACCCCGCACATGGAAGGGATTGTGCATGTCGGGTGATCACCAACTCTCAGGATTTATGTAGGTGCACTCAAGGGGGTCCTTCACCCCTTCGTGGAAAGTAGATAAAGCAAAATGGTAATTTGAACTATCATCAACAGTCTAAAGCCCAACCACGCTCTCAATGTATCACGAAAAGTTCGGGCCGAATATTTGGGAGCCCAACCAGTAATTTCGACTGATAATTCTTGGTCCAATCTTTTTGAATGGGTTTTCAGGATTCGAGAACAAATGGCATTCTACTCTTTTTACATGGTTGCATTTGCAACTGTGCAGTTGTGGCGCTGGGCATACGCTAAAAATCTGGACGTACCACTGCGCTCCGATCATCGTAGTGAGATCAAGCCAGTTTTCACTATTGAAGAATATGATGGCTGGTCTGTATGGATGGAGGAGGAGATGTCATACAAGGTGATTTAGTATGGCTTCTTAAGATGACTATTCAAAAGAAGAACGGTCTTTAGGACCACGCGAAAGTCGCGCGCGTGGCAATCTGCAAACACCGCGGGCTTTCAATGGGGCGCACGCACGCGATAATTTGATTGCGTTATTTAATGAATCTGTGTTCGCTTTGTTTTCAGCCACGCTCTTCACTGTTGCAACAACAAAAACATCGCGAGCGTGCCGGCCGTAACCATACGGTATTTGCTAACTGTCGCGCGCGATGCCGCGTGGTCCTACCGTCACATAGAAAGTATGGTGCTCTAGACACATTTACCAACATTTCACAAGACAACAGTAGATCGGAAAGAGGCACATAATCGAAAGCACCTGCATGCATCGCTCGTTTCCGTCTTTATTGTTAGGCTCTCCACCATTCCAATGTGTATAGCTCATAGTCCTTCCATCGGCCCACGACCATTCTCGGCTTGATGGATAATTCTTCTGCTTTCCTCCTAGCCAAACGAACTCATCGTATAGACCGGGCGGTGAAGAGTGGCCAACGTTTGCTTTCACCAAATCTGCAAAGATGCACCAGCAACCGTACAGGATCACTATAGGTACACGACAGTATTAATGTGACTACTGTACGGCTGACGCTAAGCTGCCGTCCAAATGCAAGCTCTAGTTAGAAATGTCAATCAAACTTTCTTAATGAATCCTCAAAGCCAGCAACTATCTCCTTAAATTCTTGGCAGAGCTGCGCAGCCCGAAAAGGTGCGTTTTCACGGGACCCCAGGCAGCTTCACGCTACGTCTGAGCTGTATTCAGACTTGCGGCAGCGTCCACCACCAGCGTCTACCAGCGTCCACTGTGTTCCGAGCGTCCGGCAGCGTTAGCGACCAGGAACGTATAGACATTGATCTAGCGTCTCCCAGCGTCTCTCAGCGTCCACCAGCGACCGGAAGTAGCGAGTGTGCGCGAAATAGAGGGTAGCAAATCAGCTAGACTAGCAATCGAGTCCGGGAAAAATTGTGAAATTCGCGCGCTCGTGGCATCGGCACCGCATAAATGCAGAAGCACAGAATTATGCAATTTAATGTACAGGTGTAACGTAATTCTGCGGCGCAGCATACGCTGCAATTTCATGACCCCTAATCCATCTGTTTGTTGCACTCCTACTTCCCCACACTCTCTACTTTCGGTCGCTGGTGAGCGCTGGTGGACGCTGACAGACTGGATCGATGTCTATTCTCTCCTTCGCTGACGCTGCCGGACGCTCGGAACGCTAGTGGTCGTTGGCTGGAACAGCTGGGAACGGCTTGCTGCACGCTGTCCGCAAAGTCCGTGAACGACAGCCTACGGAACAGTATGTTTTTAGTTAGGGCGTGTGGGTGGGCGTGAGTTGGATCGCAGCCAGAACAGCTTTCCCGTCAATAGTTGTGAACTCCTGAACGACATACAGGGGGGGGGGCAATGAAAAAAAGTCCATTTTTATCCGTTGACTTTACGGCTCGCTATTAAGTAATACTTTATTAAAATCTGATCGAAAATTTTCACCACCATTTTGAAGAGCATATTCAATACTATTATGACACTCCGCCACAGCCTTCTGGAGGAGCGCCATCGAGAGATTCTGGCACGCGACCGCGATGTGGTGCCTGAGATCAGCGAGATAGTCGATTTCTCCGCCACCGTAGACCACCCTATTGAACTCCGCCCGAACGGGTAATTGAGGGGATTCAGGTCAGGTGACCTACTTAGATATTCCATTTCTCCTTTAGGTACTCAGCGCCCTTCCATTCCAAGTAGGCGAGAGTTTTCCAACGCCCTTCGATTCCATGTGGTGGCACCCAATGCTGTAGCAGTACAAAGTTTCCAAGAAGGTACGGGCGACGACATGTGAGGAGGATATTCTTCACGAGTTGCTCGATGTAACCGCCAGCGCTCAGTCCGGGGTCCACGAAGAAAATATTGGTCTTTCCATTCCAGGTACGTCCGGTCCATACCATCAACCCGCGCCTTGGCGACTGGTAAAGATGATGTCCTAGACCGTAGAGACGGTGTCGTAGCTTGTCGGAGCTGTTCGATGTTGGGGTGATTGAAGGATTTCCAGATCCGAAGAGATATACGCTCATCCGCTAGTGCTTCAATCCCGGTTGAACTCCTACCAAAGTTCCGCAGCTGTTTGGAGGTGACGTGAATTTCAAAGGTCTCTTCCAGTCGGACTGCTACCGACTTCATATTTTGGTGTGAAGCTGATGGGCAAGAGCCAGCTCCTGCTGCCAGCTCCATCGAGGAACAGCCTGGGTATCTTCCGTCCTGGTACGTGTCCACGTCCTTTGTATGGGCAGCGGAAACTTTGCTGATATGTGACTCGATCGAAGTGACTTTTTTTATTGCCCCCCCTGTATTGAAGGGGAGGCCGCCTTGGCTGCGCAATCCACTCACCATCACATCGGCCCATTCTTGCAGGGATTACATATTGTTACCATATGGGGATGTAAGCGCTGATCTAGTGGAGTTTGAACCGCACTCCTGTGATCATGAGTTTGGCTTGAAATCTAATGCTAAAGCTGGAAGTTAATGGACTGACTTGGACCTAGGCGCATCTAGCACTACTTATCATCGTATATCAAATTAGACTGCACAGTTGCGTACCATATATTAAATTATTTTCGTCATCCGACATGATAGAAGCCAGATGTGCATTGTTCTCCTTGCAGATTGCTTCTGCCTCGTTCCCATGTTGCACTTTGAACAAAGACCTAAATATAATATAGTCCAGTTTGCTGCAGACGAAGGTGTGGTTCAGGATAGATAAGATTGGCGAGGGGTGAACCCGTTCTGGACCAGCTCTTGAAATGAGTAGGTGGAAAGCCTGTA